CAAGCTCCTATTATCCCTAATACTCATTTGTGTGTAAATGTTTTCTAAAACATCTTTATGTTGGTTTAATTCAGTATTTTTCTTTTTATAACATTTTTATATAATTAATTTGCTTAAGTGGGTGTTCTACTAAAAAATTACGGAAGTACCTTGAAGTACATGTCAGACTGTATGAGGTTATGTGGGCTCAACCTTTTATAAGTATCTCCTAGCTTTTAAAGATTTGCCATATAGTAGTATACAGTGACAGCTCATATTATATTTGGGTATAAAAAAACGTTGTAAAGAAAAGTGTTCTAGTTAGAAAAAGAAATCAGCTTCTATCATGTTTACAGTCCAAACATTTGAGCTAGTTGGTTACCGTATATACTCGAGTATAAGTCGAGATTTTCAGCCCATTTTTTTGGGTGAAAAGTGCCCCCCTCGGCTTATACTCGAGTCAGCGCCAGCGCGTCTTCTTACTTACCTCGCCGAGCGTCGCGTCACTGCTGCTCGGTGTGCGGCGCTCCGAGCGGGGTCATAGACATCTTTGGACTAGTACACTTTTCATACACAAAGCCCATTTTCTTTAAGATGTCAACTCCTCAAGACAAAATCACCTCTTAGGGGTATGTACACATTCTATACATCATTATATATAATTATGTAGAGTATTATTTTGGCCATTTAATTATTAGTTCAAAGCTCAGTCTCCATTTTGTTTTATTTCCTATGTGCAGGTAAAGATACCAAACTATTCAAGAACACTGTGATTTTCAGTTTCTGCATTGTGTCCATATTTATATGTCCATACATTATTGTGTCCTGAATTTTAGGTTGTATGTATTTAAAAGTGGTGAGGAAGGAACTACAATTTTAAGCAATAATGCCCTTCTTGTACTATTAAAGAGCCATTGCTGTTTTGTTAACCTCATAGATGGGTTTGTGAATCTGTGTCAGAAATGTGTGGTCAGCATGTGGGCATGGAGCTTTATGATGGGATTAAATTGATGATGAATTGCTAACTATTGTAACCAATAGTATATTTTTTCATTGCAACCAAACACAATAAGATAAGTAATTATTCTTAATTGTGTATATGTTATGATTTGCTAGCAGACGATCAGAAAGCTTAAAACTACTTCTTTAACTTCAACTGAGCCTTTAACTGCTTTATTATGTTATGATATAAAATATCAATTATAACACTGGATCAAAACACAGAAACTAAGACAATTGAGTCAATGAGAGTTTATTATTTTTTTGTAGTAATATGATGGTAGTTTTTTTTATCTTGAGTCTTCGGGAATATGCATCAGTGAACAGTTACTGCTGGCTTAACTTTAGGGTTCCAGACTGTCTTGTTCTGTCAGCTTGTGACCTGTTTAGGGAAGGAAAAGTCTGGTTTATATACTGCATAGAAATCAACATAAATATGTTCAGTGCATTTAAACTGAAAGGACTAAGATTATGGGTGCTTTTCCAGTACAGGTTTAGATCTGATCGGTTGTTAGGAAGCAACGGATGGATACATTTCAATGCTACTCCATATACTTTGCCTGTATCCTGCCCTGTGTCAGGAATAGAACTCAAGCCCTGGCATTAGAATGCCACGGTAATGCAGTGGCAAAAATACACATTTATTTAAACTTCCCGCAACAAACCGCATTGTTTTTGAGGTTGTGTACACATGAAAGTTAAAATAATCTTCATGGAGTAATTTATTTATTTTGTGCTGCCCCATATATCGCTGATACCTAATCTTTCATTGTTTAAAGACAAGGAATTGTTGATTGGTAGATGGAATGTCTAAGTCCCCTGCGCCAACAAAGTGTCTAGGACTCCTCCCCAGCCCATCGGGCTGGCATCTGTCATAAGGATCTTCCAAAAGCATGGGAGGAAAGTTTTCCTAAGCTCCAGAGCTGGATTCCTCAGCCACCAAGCCTGAGATAATCTGGTCTTCGGTGTCAAATTGTGTAGAGACTGAACCAATTTATCCAACAACAACAGAATGTTTTGTTGAAATGATCTGGAGTGGAACTAGACAAATACTATGGCCTTGCAGGAGGATACCATGTATCCCAGAAATCTCATGCAAAACTGGAGAGTTAGACGGCTCCTGGACTGTAGATTACATGTCTTGGAGTGGAGAGTCAGACGTTTTTCTTGAGGAAAAAAAAACTATGGCCTGAGTTGTGTGTAGAATAAGAGTCAGATATTCCAATTGATGTGTTGGTTCCAGCACCAACTTCTGAAGGTTTAGGATTCAACCAAACCTTGTTCTGGGCTGTCCACATAACATTGTCAGTCAGGATTTGAGCTGACTGTTCCCACAATAAGAGGTCACATAGGTATCCCGTTGGGAGGGAGGCTATGACAGATTTGGTGGATTCCATGTGCAACCTTTGGATTTGAATGAAGACATTCAAGCCCTTTAGAGCCAAGATGGGGCCCTTTTGATTTTGGAACAGTGAAAAAATTGTAGGAAAAACCCTGAAAAACTTTTCCTTGGAGCTTTTTAGGGATTCCAGACTAGCAACAACACTCGTAGAAGACACTACAGGCTACAACGACACTACAGGCTGCCCTAAAATTATTAGTGGATTTTGAGCTGGAATGACCTGAAACGTTGAGACTGGGACTCCAACCCTTGTGTTCGGGATCTGACATGTACTGCTGAACAGGGACAACTAAACAGGGAACACCAAGAAGATAGTATCTTGGTTTACTCACAACCATCTACTTAAGCAGGAGAAATTCAGTGGCCAGAGGTGACTAGGTCACTGTAAGCGGCAGCAAGGACTAAGCAAGGTATGAACTGTGTGTCTTTTGCAGACAGAAGGAATGGCAGACACAAGCTACATACGCTGAAGGAAAAGGTGGAAATAGAGTGGGGAGTATGTGCATGTGACACTTAAGCAAATGACTCAACATATTATTCCTCATTGCTTTTTAGGGATCAGCGGGGTCTGGCTACAGCCTCTGCTGAGGAAACTCCAGTCCAGATAGCCACATAGATAGCCCAGCTCAGCAGCATGTAGATGAGAGGGCTTGGTTAAAAAAATATCTTAAGAAAAAATAAACTGGCTAGTAAAATAGGGGTAAACTTTTCTGAATACAGAAAAAGCATTCATCCTCCTAGGGCAAAAGCAAAAAAGAAATTGTAGCATTGTGGGAGTGGGAGAGGTTGTACCTGGCTGGCAAATGGCTTTTTTTTGCCAATGTGCAAGTCCTCTTGTAGGCAACAATATAACCCAATTATATCAGGACAACTAAGGGCTGTGTCCCTTAATAAACAATAAGAAAAGGGGTTTTGGCTATAAGTATACTTTAAGACCACTGACTCAAGTCTACAAGGTAGAAATGCAAATACATATAACAGGCAGGACCCTCTTAACCATTTTGTCTCGACTTGTATTGTAACTGTAATGTTCTCCTTATATTGAAAAGCGCTTCACATACTGTTGGTGCTTTATAAATCCTGCATAAGAATAATAATAATAATAATTTATGCATGCTGCATGTTTTACCTGTTCCATGTTGATGTTCATTAAGTTTAGTGTACTAATGCGAGAAGGCCGACTTTCTAAAATAAACAACAAAAAAAGAATCAATTTAGATACAAAAAAATGTCAGTCACTTTTAGTAAAAAGTCATCTTCGTCTGACATCCTATAAGGCATCTAACATGATTGGTTGTATGCACTACCAACAAGCATTGGGCAATTGTGAATCGTGTTTATTATGATTTAGATTTATTGCCATGGGTTACTGCACTGACTAGTAAGCACTCTTTATGGTCATATAGTTCAATATTTGTTAGACACGCTTTAAGCATCAAGTTTTTCATAGATGTAGAGACATTTAATGATTGATTTACTACAGTATGATCTGAAATATCACTTGTGTTCACTTCTAACATTCAATCACATGAAAAATATTTTTTTACAAACAGGATTTTTTTCCTTCACCCATACTTGGATACTTAAAGGGTTAGTCCCTTTAAAAGTGATATTTTAGTAGATCCTAGTGGGGTATATCAATCCCTGGTTTCTTGTATGCCATGAATACTCCAACAATAAGATTTGCCTGCCATCATTCCTAACTCTGTTCCTCCTCACCTCAGAGTTTTCACTGTTCTCACCCAACTTTCAATGTCTTGGTACATCCAATATGTGTTCCCAATAACTTAACAGTTGGTTTAATTTCTTGGCATCTACCAAAAGCTGGAGTGTGAGTTTTGGATGCACTGGCCCATTAATGTTAACTAGGTTCACTTCACCTAATTTCATAATTTTAGTAAATTAGGCCCAGGGTGCATTTATCAAGTAGATAGAATGACAGATAGAGCATTTGCTAAATTCACTATTACACAGTGATCATTTTTATGCAGTACCTTTTTATTAGATAGGCCCTCAAGAAATCAGTTCACTATACTGTATCTGTGGTAATTTAATTAGTGTGAGTTGATCTGGGTATAGTTGACTTTTAAGTAGCTAACAGAAATTAAATGAGCTAATAGCGATATCTTGCTATTTTTTACCTAATTGGCCAACAATTTCATGTCTCTTGGGGAAGGCAGATGCTTGAAAATCAATTGGATACCTTGAAAAGCTTATCCTAATTGCTATTGTCCCGTTTCCCCCCCCCCCCCCTGGAAAAGAAGCAACCACCTGCACCACTCCTTCCTCTCCTCCCGAAGACAAATGTAATATCAATGGCACACCCAGCAGCTGAAAGATGGTCAACAACCCTACCTTTTGCTTCAGATCTCAAGAGATATAGTGCTTTAATTTATTAGTATAAGTACTATCTTCTGTCAGCCTGACAATGTTGATTATATGCTAATTCCAATGGCTTGTGTGCTCAAGACAACCCTATAGACCATAGACCCTATGTGAACCACAACATCCACAATGCATATTTAGCTAACATTTACAACTCAGGTCTGCCTTTGTAAATAGATTTTTTTTGTGCATGAACAATGGATATGGACAGAATAGCAAAAACAAAACTTAATTGAAGCACATGCTCTGCTGTGGCTGGCCTTATACACATTGCACAGCAGTCCCATAACATACCTCATGATCATAGCATGCCTGGCGGTCCTCTGCTGCACAGCATTTTTCTACAATTGTTCTAAAGGCTTCAACAAGCTCTTTGACTTTTTCATTCCCACAGTTAGGTTTCATTTTCATGTACTCAATCAACAATCTGTAAATAAATTACAACAGATTATGCTACATTAAAATGTTAGGATAGGGAATTTATGACTTCATGTATTCATATTGTATGTTTCAGTTTAATGGTGCAAGAGGACCAAGTAGTGTCCTGGCTAGGAACTTCTAGTTGGAAGGTGTAATGTAAAGTGGGGTTTTGTAAAAGACACGAAAATCACGAAAGGGCATTTTTTTCCTTTTGGATGGAGCAGAGGAGGGTTAGAGCCTCTTCCAAGGTTTCTGCAGAGACCAGATGCTGACAAATATGCCTGTGAGCTATTTTTAAATCGCAAAACACATTTTTACATCTAGGTATCACCCAGATTCTCTATCCACTGCAAGGACACACAATTTTCTTCTGGCCCATGCACATCTATAAGCCCTGATGAAGGAGGTAAGGCTTAGCCCCTTAAACATGTTAGTAGTTTATATCATTTTTGTCTGACCTTTTATGAAAATAAATGTGTTATCAGTGGACTTCAATACATTGGTGTGGTGCTTCAATTATACACTTTCATTCTTCAGTCTAAGTCCAAAGCAGCATACATTCTCAGTTCTGTCTGTATGCCCCTTGGGGAGATTAAGTATCACATCCTCTTTTGGCACTTGTTACCTGAAGGGGGGGGGGGGGTGATGAGGGTAAATCCCCCTAAAGGAGACACAGCAAACCTGACAGAGGTCCAAACTCTTCCCCATGCTCTTGAAGGCCCCATTCATACTATGTATTGTATTATTGCCCATGCTGCATTTTGAATGGCCTTACCCCAAGAAAAATTGGACCTGATCTTTTTTTTAAAGCAGTGCACCAAAAAAACATGGTATTTGTGGTGCACTGCAGTGCATTACACATTATTGTAATAGTGTGTTGGGGTGTTATTCAAAATAAATTGGAATCGTAAGACACCACAATTTAGGCATTACCTCAACACATCAATGTAATTGGACCCGCAAACAAAAAAAGTGTGGCTGGAATTAGACTTTAAGCTATCCTACTTTTACATACATTTCCTTCTTCATCTTCAGGCTGTATCTGAATAGAGCAACAGCTCGTGATTTTTTTTTCAGTTCTTTTACTGCCTCTTTTAACTATAATTCTCTCATGTTGCAGTTACTATCTTTCTCCACACTCTAGTAGGAGTTCCAAAATTAGCATTAATGATTCTTGAACTGGTGACATGTTTAGGCAACACATTTACTAATAAACAACTAGAGCCTATTAAATCTTATAGATTTCTCAGGACATGTGAAATAAACTAGCCTTTAGGGCTTGTTCACACCACCAGCAAATTGTTGCATTGCTTAATGCAAACAAAATGTAAGTTTAGACAAAATACAAGTGGTAATGACCTGCATTGCTGTGCAGCGCAGCAGGGAAGGACAAGAGGACAAACAAGCACTGCAAGACATGTAAAGAGGACACCATAAAAATGCAAGTCACCCCATGTCAGCAGGCCAGCTATCGCATGCTTTGTGGTGTGAAAGAACCCTTATAGCCTTTTTGTCAGGATTTGGTTCTGTGAAGTTTTCCTATGGTTGTTTTCCCACAACTTACACCAGTTTCTTCTGTTGCTGTTGTTCTGCTGAACCTTCACATAAGTCAGGAGTAAAGTGGAGCTTAGTTACATCCCATGCTGGTGCTACATAATTAGCATAAGGACCAAGTTTGGTGAAGCATGGTCTTCTATCAGCATATGAGTCGACGCAACAATGGTGAACATTGTCGTTTACGAATGTTTGCTTTTCCCTTTCACACATATCTCCCAAAAGCAGATCCAGCTGTGATGTAAATTATTAGAAGAAATATAAAGGTTTAGTGTGAATTTCTAAACAGGATTTATAAATCAGACATAGTGTTAACATATGGTTTTAATAAAAACAACAAACACTTGCACAATATAGTGGCCAACTCCAGGTTACTGCATGCTTGCTAGGATCACTATAGCCATGAATACCTAGGGTGCGCTGATATGCAAATTCTTACCAGCTTTCCTAGTTGAGAGCCAGGTCATGCCACCTCACTTGGTTACTGGTGTCCACACAGCAATAGTGTTGAGCCACCAATTATGAGGAATAGGAGGTAGGGGTGGCAGAGCCAAGATTTCAACAAACAAGGCTGATGGAGATTTGAATGCCAGAGTTGCTCAGAACCCACTTCTCTGTATGGACTCCATTCCAATGCTTTGAATGATAAATTCCAATACTATGAATTATAAATCATCCCCTAAGTTTATTATTATTTTCAGCTGATTCAACATCTGGTTCGGCTGAGCTGAAGCTCCAGCAGCTCACTTGCTGCCGTCCGCCCCTATTCACATAGGGCCCGAACGGCAGTGAGTGAATAGCCGAATGCCGCCCAGCGGCTAGCAGTGAAAGCTAGCTCCGCCCAACTGTTTCCTTTGGGTCGGCAGTCTTCTAGCAAGTACCAGCCAATGAATAACAACTGGGTGGAGCCAGTCGTGACTTCACGGCTGGCTCCCCCCAGTTGTTATTGTTTAATTACAGATCAGCATCCCCAGGTCATTTGGGGACGCTGATCTGTCATTGCAACTGGGCGGAGCTCCGCCCAGCTGTCATTTGCGAGGCGTACGCCCTACTTCGGCTGTCACTTCCGCTCAGTCCAGCCAAAGCATATGCCTTCGACCCGGCTGAGCCGCCAGGCCGCCTTCGGCAGCTGTACGGGCTATAGTGAATACGGCAGCCCTTTGGTTCGACTGTACCGAAGGGCTCTGGCGGCCGAAGAGAGCCAAAGGATGTGCCGAAGCTACGGCTGGATCCTTCAGCTCCTTTGTGAATTACCCCCTAAGGCCCCATTCACACTGTGCGATTCGCAAATCGCGCGTTTGTCGCATTGAGCAAGCGAGAATCGCGGCAAAATCCGCTCCAAAAAGGGTCCTGCTGTAGCGACACACGACCCGCGACAGTAGGACCCTTTGCCCCATTGCAAAGCATTGAAGAACGATATCGCGCGGTAAATAGCCGCGATATCGCGGGAATTACCGCGTGATAAATCGCTCAATGTGAACAGGGCCTAAGAGTTGCTCTTTAACTGAAAAAAATATCTCTGCAGTATTTGTAATAGGATACAATTAATATTCATATTTTATGTCTGTGCATATTTTTAGAGCAGCAAAGCATTTTGGTATGGCAGAATAACAGATACAGAGACCATAAGGTTTGCAGGCTTTAGTTATCTTGATTTAAGTTATGTAAAATATATAATCTTTAAGCAAATCATGTGAAGCCTATGGCTAAAACAGAACCAATCCTCTGCAGTGACGTTTTACTAGCTTGTGTCCCTAATCACTTTAAATATATGTTACACATACTGCAAATCCCACCCAGAGTATTTCATTCTGTTTTCACTTTTGGAAAAAAAAACTGCCCCATATTAGATATTAAAGAGAAAACAAGAAGAAGAGCTAACCTTTTCTTCAGCACAGACTTGCACCTTGTTTTCAGGCAACGCACAGCAGTATTCTCCACTCTTGGCCATTTTACCTGTTAATTCCACAAGTGTTGGGGATGTTACCTGAGGCATCTTTGCAAAGTATCGAATAAGCAGCCTGGAACAAAGAAAAACAGGTTCTCAAGCAAAGTGTTACTAAACAGCTGGACCCAAGACCTACATTTTAGAATTGTGTATTTTCTAGCTATTTGTCCAACTTCAGGCAAACCTTTTTTTTTTTAGTTTTGGGAAGATGGTGGAAGGAATAGAACATTTGTCAAGTTTTTATTACCATGTACCCATTTGAGAGATTCCTTCTAACATTCTGTCTATTTTAAAGAACAAAAAAGGAACTCACTCCCTCTTTTATGTTTGTTTGTTTTTTTACAGGTGTCATACAAAACAGGAAGTGATGGGGACAAATTCAGGAATAAATAAACATTTTATAGCAGAGTAAGGAAAGTTTGAAACATCTGTCTGGTTTTTTATGGTGTCCGGTTGCTCTATGAGTGAGGTTTCCACTACTTCTAACACCTGTCCAGTTGATGGGTTTTAGGCAGAACAAAAAATCCCCATTATGGATACGCACACAGTAATTCACAATCACATTTACTCCAGAAATCTGGAGTTATTCATACATGTTACCTGTGCACCTAATTCATTATGAAGACATGTTTTCTTGTATCTTGAATCACACAAACCATATTCATATAGTTTTAATTAGCATCTAATTCACAAGGCTGTTCACTTTTCTTATTAGGAAACTGGAGTGTGATGAGACCAACATGAACCTGTGCTATCACACAGCCACACTTACCGGCCTAATACTAGCTGACCACAGCCTAGCTGCCCCCTGAATTTGCAAATAGGGACACTCCAGCTTATTGCAGGATCCCTACAAACTAATAGTTTTAGTTTGTACCTAGCCGTGCAATTGTATTGTATACTAGGTAGTTATCAATTTTTCTATTGACAAACAGATACCAACATATTCTATCTACAGTTCACATAGAAAATTAGAATTGCTAGTGCTACTTATAAACTAGAACCTACCTATTGCCATCATTCTATGGAACCAATTTAGGACCCAACCACTGTGTTTTTGTACTGTGGCAGGAAAGGCAAATGTCTAGTTGAAATGCTTGCCACCATTGAAGTGTGTCTATGACAGCAATACCACAACTGTTTGCTCTTTCCACACACTTGGAGGAACTTCCAAAAACAGTGTAGCAAGTGATTTGTTTGGCATCAAACTGTTTGGTGTTACAATGCTGTCAAGCAACAGTTCCCATCCATGACCCACTGGTGTCACAAACCTAGAACTACCATATATTTTTTAAAATGTAATTTACTTAACAATAGAAATGTGTTCCTGAGCAAACGTTTAGCAGAAAATATATTTTACCCCTAGCTGCTGTCTGAAGCAGGACATTCAATTCCATTCCATCTCACAGAGCCACCTCATCCTCCAGGCAAACAAGTTCTAGTATATATAAATCCAATCTTTCTAGATTTTTTTTTGTCATCGGCGTGCTATTGGGAAGATTTCCCTTATTGTTTCCTGTCCTATATATACATCAGGAAGTGAGTGGAAACCTCTCCAAAATGAGAGAAACCCCATGCCTCACTTTTAGTCTCAGTGACTGCGGTCAACAGGATAAATACATAGAGTAAATGTATCCAGCAGAGACACAGACAACAATACAAATCTGAGAAAGGATTTAACACCTCACCAACGTATTCAAAATTAAAAACAACAACATGGAACTCGAGGCAGCATAAAATACACAAATTAAAGCAGCTCTGTAATGAATAATACATCATTAAATGTATTTTTGTAATGCAAGCAATGTAGGTACCTGAATTTGACCTGGTATCAGCCTCTTGCAGGCCCTATACAGTAGAGCTCCGACTTTGGGAAGAAGGAGCAGCACAAGGAGTCAATTAGTTATGCTGCAGTGCAAGGAGCATGCTGACTGGAAATGGAAACAGACTGACAAACTAACTTTGTCATCAGTTTGTTGCTTCTCCTTTCACTGTCCAGTTACAGTGGGGGTGAGGAGGAGACCTGTAAGTGGAAGATCAGGTCCCTATCCCCTGCTTGACAGGGTTGTGTGGTGTTGCAAAGCTGTGAAAAAAATTCAGGACTGGATGAACAGAAATACAAATGTTTGGGCATGTATAACAGATCCCATATATATATTTAATCTTTGTATTGAGCTGTTTGCCTGGACTTCAGCTTTACTCCAGGCAAATAAAGAAGACACAAATTATTGTACCTCTGTAATCATTATGACATCCTTAAATGTACTGTATTCTTTTTTAATGTAAGCAGTGTAAGTACCTTAAACTGAGCTTAGAGAGAAGGAGGGAGAAGCAGCACAAAAAAATATAATGTGTGTTAGAGTGCTAGGAGAGAGAGATAAGCTCATTGGTGTACTCTTTTCACTGTACAGTCACAGGGTGGGGACTGGGAGGAGACCTGTAAGAGAAAGTGAAACTGCCTAAGCAAAAGTCAGGTCTCCTCCCCTGCTAGGCATGACTGTTCTGCATGGCAGGGCTGTGCATATCTTAGGGCCAGTTGAACACAAATACCAATCCTTTCGGCAAGAAAAACAGGTCTCATATATCTAGGTCATCTGTGTATTTAGCTGTTTGCCTGGAGTTCAGCTTTAAACAATTCTTTTACACTGTACATTTCTTTTTGGGTTGGTTTTCTACTGAATGTATGACATCCTCCTGACATAAGAAGCCTTGCTTATGTTATATGACTGTAGATAAAATGTTAACATTAAAGGCCTTTGTCTCAAAATTGTAAGTTAGAAACATGTTAACTTACTGGATATAATAATCTTTAAAACCGAGTGCCTTCAAGCCACCACAGTTCTGATTAATTAACTCTTCATTTCCCTTCAGCGCAGCTTCTAACAAGATTGGCTGAAATAAAAATAAAAGAAATGCATCAAATCTAAAAAAAACAACACACACGCACATTTACTACCTGGACTGTGTTGTCAGTAATGTTCATAATCATACCGCTTGCTTTAGACACTCAGCGTGGTTTTCAGCAGAACAGCACTTTTCCAGCAGCCCTTCATATCCTTTAGCAACTCGTAGAGCGGACTGAGGGGATGATTCTTGGTGTCTTCTGGCATATTCATATGCAAAGCTGTAGAAAGAGATGTAATTGTTTAAAATGACAAAACCAGGACTTGAATGCACAATTATGAACACTTTAACCATCTAGCAAGGTATATA